GCCTCCAGCCAACACAGCCAGCGCCTTGCGCCCGGCCTGCGGGTGGACGGCGCCGTTGCGCAGCAGCACGGTGGCGGAGACGGTGGGAGGCAGCGGGCACGCCTCTGAGCCCGCCTGCAGGCTGCCGCCGGCCTCCACCACCACCCAGTCCGCGGCCAGCGTGGAGGAGGAGGCGGAGGAGAGGAAGAGGTGGCCACGGATGGTCACGCCGCCGGTCACGTTTGCCGTGCCCTCCAGAAGGACGCGCGTGCCGGCGGCGATGGTGAGGCCCGCCGGGAACTGCCGCACTTCGCCCGGCGCCACCTGCCAGTCCAGGCCGCCGGGCAGCGCCTCGTACGGCGCCTGGCAGCCCGCAGCAGCCGCGGGCGTGGCGATGGCAGCCACCAGGGCCAGCGCCAGCGGCAGGGCCCAGGGAGGGACCGGCATTCTTGCGTGTCGCGGGCGCCCGTTCCCGCCGGCGGCCGCCCCGCGAGGCAACTCTCAGCTACCCCGAGCTGGTCGTGCTCGCTTCACTGCAGCGCCGGTGCCCGTGGTGTGGCGCAGCGGGTCAGCTCAGCAGCGGGGGAGGACCAGGGCTTTCACCGGCCTCGCTGCATCCAAGGCATGTGGCGGGAGATTGGGCCCTCTGACGACAAGGGGCGCAGCTGAAGGACAACAGCAATTCATCATGCCATTGTTGCGGGCAACGCAGGCACTGTGCGGTATCAAAGGCCGCGGGCCGCCCTCCCGTCTAGCCAGCTGCCGCGACAGCTCCAGGTGGCGGCGCCGCTGGGCCACACACACCTGCTGGCCATCTCAGGGCTACTCCTGCGTCCAGGTCCGCACCCACTCCCAGTTCAGACCACAAAGCTCGATCTGGCGTGGCAGGAGCGGTAGTGGGGCCTTGCCTGGCATCACGTAGGCTGCGGCAGCCCCGGCACCAGCTGCGCGACCCGCAGTACCAGCTCCTGCCCTCCTTTGCACCCCTCCCGCGCATTCTCAAGCCGGGTGATCACTCGGGTAAGTTACAAATGGGGGGTAGGCGCTATGACTTGGTTGGTTGGGGGGGCCCCGACTCCAGAGCGGAGGGGGGCGGGCGCCCTAAACAAACGACAGTATCGCAATCAGATGATGGAGCCTGAGAAAAAACAGCGCCGGGGCGCTATGAAATTGGCTTTTGCCAGGCAAGAGGTATGGGCAGGCGCAGCCCAGGTTGAGAGAGTTTTGCGGGTGGAGCGGAGAGAGCGATTTTTGTGTTTTTTTTCCGGTTATCTGGGGAATGAGGGTCGGCTTGTGCGGCGGGGCCGCGAGACATCATGAGAGGTGAACGAACAGCCGGGTATCGAAACAAAAAAATGTGTGGCAGACACATTCATTAAGGCAGGGAGGGGCTGGCTGGCTGGCACAGACGGGCTCACCGCTGGGGCCGTGACAGCGCAGCGCACGCGCTCGGGACAGATGGGGAGGCAGGCAACACGTTGCTTTGGACGGGAGGAGGGACACAGCAATGCCAGGACCCGTGTACACCCACAGTGATAGTTGCTGGAAAAAGGGCTGGGAGCGGAGAAACGAAAAGTGCAGGGAGGGGGGGTGTTTTGCAGGGTGGGGCAGGGAGGAAGCAGCAGAGGAGCAGGGAATAAATGGCAAGAGGGGGCAGAGACCGCACGGGGATTGGAGCAGAATGAAAGCGGAAAAAATGGGGCCACTGAGCCGCCTGGATGGGGGCGGCTGCTGGCCGTCGCATGCGCGTTGGGCCCTGTCGTGCATTCTGGGGTTGGGAGGGTGCGGCTGGGAGGGGGAGGCGTGCGGTCCACAGGCGCCGCGCACGCCGCCCGCTGCGTGCGCCCGCCGCCGCCGTCGGGCGGCCTACCTGGGGCCGCGGTGGAAGCTGCTGGGCAGCGGGCGGTACTGCTGGCTCATGAAGTCAAAGTCGGGCAGCTGCACCTTGCGGCGCTGCACCCATGACCCCGCCGCCGCCACCATGGGCAGGTGCTGGCGCTGCAGGTTCCAGTCGTCCAGCCAGGCCGCCCCCGTGGCCTTGTAGGGCATGAAGGCAAAGGGCCGCAGGCAGGCCGCCTGCAGCGGCAGCGCCGACAGCACCGAGGCCACGCCGCAGTCGTCCGGGCTGGAGCGCGCGCTGCCGGGCGGCGTGGAGGCCGGGCTGGCGCCGCCGCCGCCGCCGGGGGAGGCGGCCGGCGACTCGGCGCCCTGCGCCGCCGCGGCCGCCGCCGCCGCCTGCTGCAGCAGCTGCTGCTGCTGCTGCTGCGCCGCGATGGCGCGCAGCGCGGCGGCCAGCAGGCCCTGCCGCGCCACCTCGGTGCGCCAGGCCACCGCCGCCGCGCCCGCCGGGTCCAGCAGCGGCGGCAGCGGCGCGCCTTTGGCCGGCGGCGCGTGCAGCCGCTGCGGCGGCACCGACAGCGAGTGGAAGGTGAGGAAGTTGGCCTGCAGGTCGCGGGAGGCGGCCGGGTCGGGCAGGCTGGGTATCCTGCAGGCCAGAGCAGCGGGGAGGGGAGGGGGGCACGGGCACGCATGGTCGGCAGAGGCATGTGGCGGCCGGCATTGTGCCGTCAGCACCCAACCCGCTCGGCTCCGCTCAACTCAGCGGCGACCGCTGCTGCTGCAAGCAGCCATGCACGCTGAGAGGGCCATGCCCCCTGCTGCCGCGCGCGGCGGCCCGGCAGGCGGCGCACCGGTAGATGGGCACCCAGGTGACGGCGAGCCACGAGGTGGGGTGCAGGTCGCGGGTGTCGAGCGTCAGCAGCTCGGGTCGCGCCTCCGCCAGTTCCATGACCTTGTCGTGCAGCGGCTGGCGCAGGTGGGGCCGCTCGACCTCCATGAACTCAAACAGCGGCTGCTGCGCGGGCTCCCCCAGGCCGTGCTGCTGGCGCAGCACCGAGCCGCGGGCCAGGCGCCGCGCCGCGGCCGCCGCCGCCGCCGTGGGGCTGTCCTTGCACGCCTCCTCGCCGTCGCTGTCGGAGGCGGTGGAGGCGGTGGAGGCGGTGGAGGAGGTGCAGGCGCTGCTGGCGGCGCAGCCGTCGGCGCAGCCGCCGCCGCCCTCGCCGCCCTCGCACTCATCCTCTCCCTCGCTGCAGCAGCTGCTCACAGCGGCGCTGCTGGTGCTGGTGGGTATCCGCCTGTGTGGGAAAGGAGACGACACACGGGAGAGGTGGGCGGGAAGGGGCCGGCGAGGGAGCAGGCAATGGCGGCCCATTGCAACGGCCCGGCGCCGGGCGGGCGCGCGTGCGGCCACGCACCTGGTGCAGTCTGCGCCGAACAGCTGCATGCCAGCAAGGTGCGGGGTGTAGCACTGGATGACCTGCAGCAGCGTGGCGGGGCCAGGCAGCAGCGGTTTGGTTTGGTGAGAGTGCTGCGTTTGCTGCGCACTCGCCCGCCATCCGCCCGTAGTCATTTCGCGCTGCCACGCACGCGCAAGGCCACCCGGCCAGCACCCGCGTTGCGCGCGCACCTCCTGCCACCTGCCGTCCACGTTGATGCGCACAGGCACCTCGCAGCCGTACGCGCTCCACGCCTCGTAGCTTTGCCTGCAGGGGGCGGGGCGGGCGCGCCGTGAGGCGCCGCGCACCAGGCGGCACAACAGGCGGCGGCCAGCGGCGGCACGGCCTTGTGCGGCGGCAATGGAAGCACGCGTGCTGGGCCTTGCAACGGTCGCATGGCAGCCAATCTGGCCGGCGCAGCTGTCCGGCGCACCAGAGGTCATGCAGGGTGAAGTAGCTGCTGGAGGGGCTGTCCAGGGCTCCATACTGCAGGCAGGGTGGCATTGATCGCTGTGAGCGCCCCTGAGGCTGCGGCAGCGCGGTCAGCGGCCGGGGGAGGGCTTCGGCCAGCGGCGCACCTGGGTGGCGAATACAGGCACGGTGGGCGCCCCGTGGAGCAGCACGCTCTGCAGGTTGCTGAGGACGCTGGGCTGGTGCTGTCGGGGGGGCTGCCTAGGGCCCCTGCTCTGTTTGCAGTGAGCCGCCCTCATGGCTTGCGCCCAGCCAACGTTTGGCTAGATAGGCTTGGTGCTGGACTGGATCCGCTGCTGTCGGGGCGTGGAAATGGGCAATGGAGGAGCCTAGGAGGATATGTAGGAGCGGGGGCGGGCTGAGAGCAGCGAGAGAAGGGCGGCTTCGGGCGTCGGGGGTGAAGGGCTCTGGTGCTGAGACCGGCAGGCGTGGTGTCCTCTGAACCAGCTACCGCCCAGGAGTAGATCAGCGGGAGCCGCGGGCTTCAAGCCTGAGCGGGGCTGGAAGGGGCGGCCAGCTGGCCTGGGTCGGTGCATGGGGAGTCATGGAGGCCCCACAAGCGATCCCCGGCATCGCACCTCCCTCCAGCCACCTCCTGCAGTCTCTGGGATGCGGGGCACAGCAGCTTGGGCACCCGCTTGCAGGAACCCCTCAGATTGCGGCTCTCCCTGGGCCAACGGCTCTTTGCACGGACCAGCTGTCGTTGTAGAGGCAGACCAATGCCAATTGATGCCAGCAGTGGCGATCGGGCGCCCGGGGGATGCAAGGTCGCCGCGCGCCTGCCGCCGCTTCCCGCCCCTGCAACCGTCGCCGCTGGCCTCTCGTCTCCTGCTGCCGCCAGCGGCCTGTGCACAGTACAGTCCTGCTCTCTGGATCTCTCAAATGGTTGTGACCCCGTGTCGGGTCCTGGGAGCATGGTGACCGCGGCCGTTCTGCACCGGTCGCGCTTGGGCAGCCCCGAGCACCTGCTGCTCAGCCCACTCACGCACAGCGAATAGCTTTGAGACAGGCTATCATCCCCTTGGGTGTGTGGATCGCCCAAAACCGCTCAGCCGGTGAGGCTGCCAACTCCAGCTGCCCTATGCCCCCAGAAACCCACCGAGGCCGCAGCTCAGGTGGGTGCGTCCAGGGGAAAAAGTGAACGACGAGAACCGCAGGAGAGCTGCTGCACCGCATTTGACCAGCTGCACTGGTGGCAGGTGCGTGCGCAGGGAGCATCGGCCGGCACAAGAGCGGTTCAACCGGCCCCCATCTCCTACATGCCACTGAACAAGACCGGTCCGTTCGGGGCCCAGCTCCTTTCAACTCAACCCCACGTCCTTCGGTTGTCTCAGGCGACCCTCCACGCCCTCTGTTAGCCAGCAGACAGCGAGATCAACGCGGGGGTCCGAGGCTGGAAAGAGGGCCCAGGGGCAGCGCACGTGAAGAGGGAATGGCTCAACCCGGGCGATCCTCCAGCCCACTGGACGTCCGGCAGCTGCCCTGGCGCCCCCACCCCCCTGCCGAGACCGTCCGATGGCGCGGCTTCTCTTCGCCACCGCCCTGCTGCTGGTGGCTGCGGCCTCCTTTGCTGCAGCCAGCAAGGGTCCCGCCATCACGCACAAGGTGTGAGCCTTGGCGATGGCGCCCGATCGCCGCATCCCGCCCCGGAGGGACGCGCCTTGCGCCGCTGCCGGGCCGCCGCTTTGCCAGGCCGCCCTTCTCATGCCTGCCATGCTTGTCCTCGGGCACTGCACAAGCTCTGATTTCATCAGTCTCTTGAAAGAATGCACCACCCGCAACCTCCAGGCCGTGCTGCTGTCCCCTTTGCCTGCTGGCGCTCACCCCGCCTCCCGCGGCGCCGCCTTTTCATTGGCAGGTGTTTTTCGATGTGGAGATCGATGGCAAGGCCGCGGGGCGCATCGTGATGGGGCTGTACGGCAAGACCGTGCCCAAGACTGTTGAGAACTTCCGGTGCGGGGGTTGCCCGTGAGGCGGCAGCGGCCAGGTGGCGGCAGCGCGGAAATCGACAGCTGAGCACCCGCTCCGCTGTTTGCTGGCCCCAATCCACACGGCTCCAGCTGGCTGGCTGGCCTGTGCCTGGAACCAGCACCCCTTGCTGCGGCGCCGCCATCGGCAACCCCCTGCCTGCCCCGCCGCTGCGCAGGGCGCTGTGCACCGGCGAGAAGGGGGTGGGCAAGAGCGGCAAGCCGCTGCACTACAAGGGCACCGTCTTCCACCGCATCATCCCAAGCTTCATGCTGCAGTCTGGCGACTTCACGCGGTGAGGGCCAGGGCGGGGTGGCACACAGGCGCCGCTGCAAGAGGCCTGCCGGCCGCTGCGGCCGTGCCACGCCTCGCCGGGGGCCGCGCCCTCCCTCTTCCCTGCCCGGGCTCTCCTGTCACCACCCCCCTGCCAAACACAGCAAAACAGCACGCACAGAACGCGGCCGACGCGCCCAGAAAGCATAAACGCGCCGCCCACCGGCCCCATGCCGCCCCCGCAGCGGCGACGGCACGGGCGGCGAGTCGATCTACGGCGAGAAATTTGAGGACGAGAACTTCAAGCTGCGCCACAAGAGCGCGGGGGTGCTGTCCATGGCAAACGCGGGTGGGTGCCGCGCGGCCGCTCTTGCTTGGCGTGGCGATTAGGGTTCCACGCGTGGCGCGCGCGGCGGCGGGGTGGTGGCGGCCGCGGCGGCGCGGGGGTGGTGGCGGTGGCGGCGTGGTGGTGGTGGCCGACGGCGGCGCCGCGGCGGTGCCGGCCCTGCGCTGGACTGGCTGCCTGGCGCGGGACCCCTCACTGCCTGCCTGCCTGCCTGGCCCGCAGGCAAGGACACCAACGGCTCTCAGTTCTTCATCACGAGTGAGTGAGGCGGCAGGCCGTTGCGCCCTTTGGCTGCTTGTTGGTTGCAGCATGGTGGGGTCGTCGGCGGCGGCAGGCCGGCATGCCGTGTGCTGCTGCTGCTGCTGCGTCGAGCTGGGGCTGATGGCAGCCGCTGCAGCCAGGGCGAGGGGGAGGTGGGAGGTGGGAGGGTTGAGCGCCGCCGGCAGGGGCAGCAGAGGTGCGGCTCTGTCGTTGCGATTTGCTTGGCCCCTGCATCTCACCTGTGCCTCGCCTGCCCCGCCCGGCGCCCCTCCTCCCGCCGCAGCCGTCAAGACCGCGTGGCTGGTGAGCGGCGGGCAGCCGCGTCGGCGAGCAGCCGCCTGCCGCATCGCCCGGCCTTGTGGCGGGCTGCCGTGGGCGGTGCCTGGCTCCAGGGTGGGCCCCTGGCTGACCTGTGTGCCTCGTGTCTGCCGCCGCAGGATGGGCGTCACGTGGTGTTTGGCCGCGTGCTGGAGGGCATGGATGTGGTGTACAAGGTGCGGCTCCAGTGGCGGCGGCGAGCGGCGGGAATTTGCTCTGCGTTCTGGGAAGCAGTTACAGTACAACATGTTCACAGTGGTCGCCGGCGATGGACGCCAGCGGCTGGCGGCCTGTGCTCTGGAGCAGCCTGCTGTGGTGGGGCGGGGCTGTGTGTGGCGGCGGCCCTTGCCCCTGCTGCCGGCAGCCGCGTGGCCAGCCGAGCACATAAGCACAAGAGCGCATCCCCGCCCCCTTCCCCGACACACATGCATGTGTTGCTAAACTTGGCACCCCCCACACGCACGCTGGCACCCTGACCCTGGCACGTGCGCAGGTGGAGGCGGAGGGCAGCCAGAGCGGCACCCCCAAGTCCAAGGTCATCATCGCCGACTCGGGGGAGTTGCCCGTGGAGGCGGCGGCCGAGGCCTGAGCAGCCCCCGAGGCGGCCTTGGGCACGCGCCTGGAGCGACAGCACGGCCCACAAGGGCGGGATGCCTGCTGGGGGCCCTGCCTGCGGCACGGCAGCCGCGCATGGGGCGGCTGCTGGCATGCGGTGCCGTGTGCGTCTCTGCGGCGGATCCAACGTACGGCAGCCCTGCGTGCGTGGCGCCTGGCCCCAAAACCATGGTGTGATTATTGGACCTCATCATCTCGTCTTTGTACACCTTTTGACTGGAAGGTTCCGGATGTTAACCCACAGCACACTGTGTGGGGCACCAGAGCAGGATCGCAGGCAGCGCCGCTGGCTCGTGCCGCCCGACCGCCTCATCGCCTGGCCTTTGCCCGCCTTCCTCAAGGTGCCGCCAGCCGGCCGCCGCCCCAGTGCCCGCCCCAGCTCCCGCCCGCCTTTGTCGCCTTGCTGCCTGCCGGCGGCGCCGCCACCTGGTCTTCATACTTGAAAAAGTCGCACTGGGCGCCGCCCGCGGTGTGCTGGTACTTGCCTGCACCAGGGGAAGGAGGAGGGCGCGCCTTGATGTCTTGGCATGCTGCAAAAGTGCACACCTCTGCCCGCTGCGCTGGTGGCCCACTCCACCACCACACCACCACCACACGCTCGCACACATGCACACATGCACCATCACCAAGCATGCACACAGCGCTGCTGCCCTGGGCAGGCGGTTCTCACCACAGGACCAGAACCAGCGCCCGTTGTTGGGCCCAGGCTTGCGGACCTGCCGCTTCTGCGCCAGGCGGTCAGGCAGGCTGGGCGGGAGGTTGGCCGGGACTGCCCTCCCCAAGCAAGCAGAGCTGCAATCAATGCTGCAGCTGCGCACCTCCTCACCTTGGCTTTGGCGCCGCAGTAGCAGCAGCCGTTCCACGCCCCGCTCTCATCAAACACCTCTGCTTCTTTCTTGTTGGAGGCTGCATGCCGCCGCCGCAACCGCCGCCGCCGCCGCCGCCGCCGCCGCCGCCGCCGCCGCCGCCGCTCTTTCCGGCGGGGGCAAAAAGGGTGGCCTGCTTGAAGCGCCCCGAGGCATCCACCCCTGTGAAGGAGCCTGTGACCCCCAGGATCACGCCGCTCTGCATCAGCTTGATGGCCAGCCTGCGCCAGCAGGGAGGTGGAGTGCGTGGGCGAGGGCGTGTGGGGTGGTGGTGCCGGTGCTGTGTGTAGCGGCAGGGAGCGAACAACCCGCTCAGGCATCCAAAACAATTCCCTGCTTCCCGCTGCGCAGCCCCCATGTGCCGCTGCCCGCTGCGCAACCCCCGCTCGCCGCCCCGCCCCAGCCCCACCTGGCCGTGTTGCGTGCGTCGTCGATTGCGGAGTGGGCGCGGCCGTCCCAGCCCAGTTCCGCAGCCTCGCAGCTGGCCCTCAGGTTGCCCTTCTTGCCCGAGTGCTTGAACCAGACCTTCACAGGGGAGGGCAGGCGAGCGGGATGGACCAGACCCCCTGTTCATACCTACAGCGTAACGAGACCTCCCTGCTCCATCGCCAGTGCTGGCCACGCAACCCCAACCAAGGCTGTCTTCTCTCGTTATTCCTATTATTCCTGCTTGCCCATCCAGCGTGCTCACCGCCCCGATGTCTATCCAGCGCTTCTGCCACCTGGGCTGCTCTATCCTGCGCCACTTGCACTCCATCTGCATCTGAACCTTCAGATCCCAGTCCCTCCACGTGCTGCAGCAAGAGAAGCAGCGGCGGGATGAGCAGCAACTTGGTTCAAACAGTGGCGCCAGCAGCAGCAGGTGCAGCAAGGCGTGCTCGGCTTATCCTCTCATCTCACACAGGCACAAAGGTTTTGCCCTGCATGGCAGAGTCGTGCGTGTAGCGCCAGAGGCAGGGTCAGCACCTGTAATATCCATGCCCGTGTTTCAGGGCTGTGCCAGCGGCGACCACCGCAGCCACAGGCAGCTGCAAGGCGGCAGCGGGGCGCTGGGGCTTGCGCTGCGGGCTGCAAGCGTCTGAGGGCCGCCGCCTCACCGCCCACCCACCTGCCCAATCAGGCCCTGCTGCCGCAGCCAGGCATCCAGGTCCTGCAGAGCGGTGTGCAGCGGCACGCCGCCATCCACCCTGCGTGAGCGGCGATGCGGCCACGGTTGCTGTGAGCATGTGGGCCCCGCAGAGGCACACGCGCAGGCTGCCTTGGCCGGCAGCAGCCAGCCCTGCAGCGCCGCGCATAGCATGCAGGTACACCACCGGAGGGCCTGCGCCGCCGCGATGAGCGGCCGGCGGCGGCTCACATGGCCTGCGTGATGCCTGTGAGCTCTGTGCAGAAGTCGGAGAGGCACGGGTGCTGGTCGGGGCGCACGTACCGCTGGAAGTGAACGGGCAGTACCGTGGTCCTGGCAGTGTCCACCACCACGCAGCTCAGCTCGATAATCTCCTGCAGCAGGCAGCCCAGCCAGCACGCAGTGACGGCAGCCGCTTACCGGCGGCAGCGCCCCAAGGCGACTTGCTGCCGCGTGCGCTGCACGGCGTGCCACGCCGGCGTCGCGCCCCTTGCCCCTTGCCCCCTCAAGTGGCATAACTGCACCTGCGGCATCGGCTGGGCGGCCTTGTCTCGGTCGCAGGTGGCCTCCAGGTCCATCACAAGAAGAAAGTCAAACAGCTGGCGCAGGCGGCTCCTGCGCGGCGCGGCACCCGCTGCTGCTCCTGCATCTGCTGCCTCTGCCGCTGCCTCTCCCGCTGCTGCTGCTTCTGTGGCTGCAGGGGCTGGCGTTGCGGCAGCAGGGGCTGGCACTACAGCTGCGGCACTCCCCTCAGGTGGCCCCTGTAACCGCTGGTCCCGCTCGCTGCCTGCTGCCTCGCCCGCTGCTGGCGCGCCGGGCACAGCGCAGCTCGGCACGGCATCGGGCTGTCCTGCGCCTGCAGGCTCTGGCTGCGGTGCAGGGTATTCGTCTAACGGTGCTGCAGTGCCTGTGGTGGCACCGCTGCGGCCGAGTGCGGTATGAGGGTCGGCAGCTGCTGCGTCCGCTCGGCGCACCGCGTCCACACCTGCCTCCAGCTCTGCGCTGCTGCAGGGCAGCTGCTGGGGCGCAGGCTGCTGCTGCTGCTGCTGGTGCACTTGCCATGCCGGCTGGTGCTGCTGAGGGGGTGCATGAGCCAGGCGAGGTGGGTGCTGCCGCCATGACGGCTGCTGCTGCTGCCGCTGCTGCGGAGCCGCAACCGCAGGCGGTCGGCCGGTTCCGACAGCCGTAGAGGATGGGCCGCCTGCCCCGGGCTGCCGCCAGACGTTCTGCGCATGCAGCTGCGGCCTGGATGGAGGCTGGCACGAGGCGAACAGGTGCCGCACGCTGGCCGGCACGCCTTGCTGCTGGGCTGTCGTAGCGCAGGCCGGAGCGGCTTGCTGCGGGGCGGGCGGCGGCGGCGGGCAGGCACGTGGCGCCGCTGCAGCTGCCCCCGGCGCTCCGTTCGACACCCTCAGCGGCTCTGCTGCGGCCCGCCTGGGCCCCGCTGCCTGCTCAAAGCTGTCCAGCGCCTGTGCAAAGAGCTCATCGTCGCTGTCCTCCATCGTGTATTTAGGCCTTGGAAGGCCCTCCAGCGATTGCCGGGATGCATATTTCGGCGTCCTGCTGAGGTTGCTGTGGCGAGCTGGCTCCATGTTGAGCACCGCGATCGAATCGATCTTCTTGCACTGCGATCGAATGCTACAATTGAGCCACGGCAACGCACCACGCTGTCTCGACCAGCCTCCCCACAGACACTCGTTTTGTGCGTCTCTGCTTGCGCCACCAGCCAGTGTCCACAAGGAAATCAAGCAGCAGTCGAATGGGTGGCGGCGGATCAAAGGCGGTGCAGAAGGGCGCCGCCAGGGCGGCGGCGGCGGCACCCAAGCCGCCGCCTAGCGCCGCTGCTGCCACTGGCGGCGCAGTGGATGCTGGTGTCAGCGCAGCAGGCAAGCCGGGACTGCCTGAGCGTGGATGAAGAGAGCAGTTTTTGTTGACACAAAACAAGGACCTCAGCGACTGGCAGCTCCTGCCTCTTCCTGCAGAGCGGCAGCGAGAGGCCAAGGTGCGGCAGCGGCAGGCCGCGGCGGCCTCGCTCCCTGCCGAGCAGCTCCAGGAGAACGAGGGCCTGGTGCGGTCGATGAACAAGGCGATGGCGGGGATGAGGCAGTACCAGTACGAACTGTACCGCAACCCAGAGGTGCGTGGGAGGGGCGGGCTGGTGGCCCGTGCGGGGAGAGGTGGATGGCTGGTCGGGTATGGGAGCCACCATTGGCGTGAGACAGGAGGGCTGGCACTGCTAGCTTCCCTGGCGCTGTGGCGCATTGCAGCCCGCAGCGTGGCCAGCGAAGTGATCGGCCGACGCCGCTCCTGCCGCCGGCTGCCGCGCCGCCGCCAGCGCAGGTGGACAAGCGGTATGCGTTGCGGAGGAAGAGCAAGGAGGAGAAGGAGGCTGAGCTGGTGGGCAGGGTGGACCTCAAAGTGGCCAAGCAGCTGCTGGAAGACCATGCGCGGTGTGTGCCCTGCGCCGACGTGCCTGCCTGCCTGCCTGGCAGCACACTTGCCCACGCGGAGCGCTGCTCACCGCCATGCCGCTGCATGCCGCTGCATGGCCGCCGCGGCGCCGTGCGGGCATCGGGTGCAGCAGGCGGCGGCGCGCCTGCTGCGGGCTGCCCCGCACGCGCTCCTGCCACCCTGTTGCCTTGCCGCCACAGAGACGCGCCGGTTGCTGCCTGTTCCTGATGGGTGCGCCTGCCCTGCTCCGGGCAGGTCGGTGGAGCGAGGCATGCCGCTGTCGGCGGCGGAGCTGGCGCGGCGGTACGGGGCGAGCGAGGAGGTACTGGAGCAAGTACTGCAGCAGATCAGCCTGCCCATCGTCGAACAAGCGGAGCCGGGGGGCAAGCGGGTGGGGCGGTGGCCGGGCCGGCGGGACGGCGGCGGCGAGGAGGAGACCAGCAGATGATCCTCCCCGCCTGCGGAGGCCCTGTTACCTGACCGCCTGCCCTGGCACTGTGTTGACCTTTTTGACGCCAGCTGGTTGACGCTCATTACTCACTCAAAAAGCAATCACAGGCAACGGTGGGCCAGCACAGCGAGCAGAGGCGCCTCTGGCCGCCCAAAGCAGAGATCACTTGCGGCCTGGCCGCCGGATCGTCACGCGCCGCCTGCCGCCGCTGCTCGCCGCCGCAGCATCCTGTCCCATGGCGAAAGCGCCGCCGCCTGCAGGCCCCGCGCCAAAGGCAGGTGCCGCAGCAGGTGCTCCACCAAAGGCCGTCGCTGCGCCAAAAGCAGGAGCCGCCGCAGGCGGTGCGCCAAAGGCCGGCGCCCCGCCACCAAAGACTGGCGCAGCGCCAAACGCTGGCGCCGCCGCCGCCGGCGGCTGCGCGCCAAACTGGAAGCCGCCCGCGGCTGGCTGCTGCTGCTGCTGCTGCCCAAAGGTGAAGCCGCCTGGAGCTGTGGCTTGCGCTGCCGGCTGCTGGCCGAAGCCAAAGCCGCCAGGTGCGGCTGCCGGCGCGCCTCCAGCAGGCGCCTGCCCGAGCGCAGTCCCCGGCTGCGGCGCCGCCGCCGGCTGCGAGCCGGCGCCGCCAAACTGGAAGGTCGATGAGGCGGGGGCGGGGGCTGCGCTGGCCGCCGCCACACCACCGAAGCCGAATACTGCAGGCGGGGCCGCGGCGGGTGCGCCGGCTGCTGCTCCTAGCCCGCCGACCGCGGGCGCGGCGGCAGGCGGGGCTGCGGCCGCAGAGGAGGCTGGAGCGCCAAAGGCAAAAGCCTGCGGCGCGGCTGCTGAGCCAGCAGCCGCGCCGGCGCCTCCAAAGCCGAATGCAGGAGGGGCGGCAGCTGCCGGCGCAGCCGCGCCGCTGGCTGCGCCAAACGCAAACGGCGCTGGCGCTGCGGTGCTGGCAGGTGGCGCAGCCGCGCCGCTGGCTGCGCCAAACGCAAACGGCGCTGGCGCCGCGGTGCTGGCTGCCGGCGCTGCGGCGCCGCTGGCTGCGCCAAATGCAAACAGGGCTGGCGCCGCGGTGCTGGCAGGGGGCGCTGCGGCGCCGCTGGCTGCGCCAAACGCAAGCGGAGCTGGCGCTGCGGTGCTGGCAGGGGGTGCTGCGGCGCCGACCCCACATGCCGCCGCAGGCGCCGGAGCGGCGGTGCCGGCCGGCGTGGCCGCTGCTGGTGCGGCGGCTGTGGCAGGGGGCGCCGCGCCGCCAAAGGCGAATGCAGGCGCCGAGGCGGGCTGCGCCGCAGCGCTGCTTGCAGCTGCCGCTTTAAACGTGAAGCCGCCAGCTCCGGGGCCGGCCGGCGCTGCGGCTGCCGCCGCCGGCTGTGCAGGCTGGCTCACGGCCGGCACAGCTGGGGCTGTCGCACCGAAAGCAAAAGTGGGGGCGGCCGCAGGGGCGGATGGCGCCGCGGAAGGAGCTGCTGCTGCCGGCGCTGGAGCAGCCGTTGGAGCCGCGGCTGCGGCTGCAACAGACGCGCCCCCAAAGCTGAAGGCTGGAGCTGCGGCCGCTGCTGCTGGCGCCGCCGCTGCCGAGCTGGCTGCAGGGAAGGACAGGGCGGGGCCGGCGGTGGCAGCTGCTGAGCTGGCGGCGCCAAAGGCGAAGGTGGGCCCGCCGGCCGCCGCCGCCGCCGCCGCCGCCTTGCCTGCAGCCGCCTCGGTGGCGGCTGTGTCGCTGGTGGCGCCTGGGCCGGCCGCCGTGCCGCCGGCCACCAGACTGATGCTGGCGGCTGGGGCCGCTGCCGTGCCTGCCGCAGGGGTCGCGCCAAAGGCAAAGGCTGCGGGTGCAGGCACCGCTGCTGCTGCTGCTGCGCCGCCGCCTTCTGCTGCTGCCTTGGCAGGTGCCTCCTCTTTAGCTGTTGCAGCGGCAGCAGCAGACGCTTCAGCCAGCGCGGCGCCGATCCCAACGCCGCCCGCTGCCGCGCCGGCAGCTTCGGCGGCCGCCGAGCCACGCCGGCTGCCCCGCCGCCCCTTCTTGTCGCTGCTGCCGCCAGCCTCAGCCAGGGCAGCCGCGATGCTGCCGCCCGAGGGTTCCGCTGCTGCGGTGGGCGGGGAAGCCGCAAGGCCCGCAGCAGCCAGGCTGCCGCCCGCTGGCGCGGCCGACGTGCTGGGAAGCGCCAGAGTGGGAGCAGGAGCGGGCGCCTCAAAGCCTGCAGCGCAGTCGGGGAGGCACAGGTGGGGTGGCGCCTTCCTCCCTGCTTGCTGCGGTGCATCGGGGTTGCCTGCGGCCAGCTGAAGGCAAGCCGCAGGCCGCAGCGCGCCGCCCCAGCCAGCAGCAGCGCCGCCCAGGTGGCAGCCCCGCGAAGTCAGGCGCACCCGGCAGCAGGCGATCAAACTCCGACAGGCTGCCCGCTCGCTCCGGCGGCTCTGAGGGCAGCAGCCGCGCACGCAGGCCGCGGCTGCCAGGCGTGCCTGCACGCGGGAGCGGCAGGCGGCAGGCTTTGCAGAGGGGGTTGGCCTGGTGACAGGGCAGCAGCAGAGGGGATTGGCATTGATGACAGGCCGACACGTGGTCGGAGCAAGGCAGGCATGCTAGCAGGGTGGGACAAGTTGCGGCAGCCCTGCTCACCGCCCAGGCGCGACGGCGGCGCGGCCAGCTTGCGCCGGAACGTCGGCTGCAGGGTGCCGCCGCTGGCGGGCGCGGCGCCGGCTGCGGCGCCGGCGGCGCCGCTGCCCGCGGTGGTGCGTGTGGTGAGGTCTGAGGCAGTCGAGCTCCGCCTCAACTTGGCTGCTTTGCTGAAGTTGTAGCCCGGCAGCTGGTTGAGCGGCGCAGCACCCAGCTTGGGCGACATCATGCGGTAGGGGGAAGGCGCCGGGGAGCCCACGGGCTCCGCCGGTGCGGCGGCGGCCGGCGGCTCGCGGCGGGGCCGTACCGCGGGCCGCGGCGCGGCGCCGGGCGAGCGCTCCTCGGCGGCGGCGGCGGCCTCGGCGGGCTCGATCTCCTCGGCTGCTGCAGCACCCAGCTTGCGCTTGCCAGCTGGTGCTGCTGCCGCTGCCGGCTGCTGCTGCCTGGCAGGCTGGGAGGGCCTGGCAGCCGTCGCCGGGCGCTTGGCGGCGCCATCGCCCGCCGCCTCCGCCTCGTCGGGCGCCTTGCGCTTGCCGAGTGGGGCCGGCCCTGCGGCAGCGGATGCCGCCTCGTCAGGTGCTGTGGATGCCTGGTCGCCTGCAGGGAGAGGGGAACTTGGCAAGCGGGACTCGGTTTCATCACCAGCCAAACGCTGGTGGTCTGCAGGGGCCTGGATGGCCGACATCGGGTCACAGCCATCGCTCCTGACCCCACCTGGCGAGCTCCCCCTCAGCCAGTTGGCCACCTTCTGCAGGGCCTGCATATCTCGCTGCCTGCGGCGCCTGGGACCCGCCTGAGGTCGACGAACGAGCGCTGGGATAGCAATCCGATTGGGAGAGGCAGGATTGGGCAAAGGCCTCATGTAGACAGGTGGCGCAGCATGCCGCGCATGCCGCCGCCGCTCGCGAAGGATGCCGCCATGGTCGACTTTTAAGGCTGGTGCATGCCTCGGCATGAGCAAAGACTGGAGGATCACTCGCTTCCGCAGTCAGGTGCAGCAAGCGATGCGGAGAACCGCACACCAACACGGGCGGCGCAGAGCAGCTGTCAGTGACGACAGCCGAGCTGATGGGGACATAGACCGAGCTGATGGGGGCATGGACGATCCAATAACTTTCAGCCCCCTCAGAATAGATGATGATTAGATGCCCAGCCACATCCTGCTTCTTGAACGCCGGCTGTTGCGTTATCGTGCTTGCGACTGCTCCTCTTCCGGCCTTGTTCCGCTGCCGCATGAACAGGCACCAGTGAGATCAATTAAAAATTTCAGTGTGAGCACAATGAGCACCAGCTTAGCAGCGGGGGACAACGTTCGGACGAGGAGACGGCCGCTGGGTTGCGGCGGAGGGCAAGCGGCGGTGGCGCAGCGCCGGCCGCTGGGTTGCACTGGTGTGCCAATTGCCCCCTGACGACAAATACGTTGCTTCTTCCAATGGCCACGCTCTTGCGGGCCAGCAGTTCACGGCCGAGTAATCCTCCGCACCGGCGACAGTGGCTGGGCGGCCTGGCGCTTACAGACCAGCAATAAGACGGCGGAAATGCGGCTGCAGCGCGAATTCTGCAGCCATTTTGCCGGCTTTCTAGTCCAGCTCGGCCTCACCCAGATCCTGGCTCACCCGCAAAGTTGGCCCGCAGCCCGACCCGCTGCCAGTCCATCGCCACCCTCCTGCAGCCTGTCGAGTTCGATCTACACGATGCAGGTGCGGCAGCGGGCTGCAAGCTGCTGTGGGCGGGGCGGGCTCTGCCCTGATGGCCATGGAGGCTAACCCCGCGCTCCCCGCCCCCTGCAGGTCGTTACCTCGTTCAGCGGCGTGGCACTGCGCCCCGCGCAGTCCGTCAGCCGTCCGGCCCGCCGCAGCAGCGTGGTTGTGCGCAGCGAGGGCAGCGAGGGCAGCGAGCTGGCCAAGGTGCGGCTCCAGGCGCTGCTGTGGCCCCGATTGCAGGCGGAGAGGGGGCTGGGGATCGCAAGCAGCCGCTAGGAGCCCGGCAGCCGCAGCCAGCCAGCCAGCCAGACGGGTCCCCGGGCCAGCCAAACCCCCTACGTCAGCACGCCACCGCCCGACCAGTGCTGGCTGTGCTGCTGCGCGTGCCGGCTTGCAGGTTGAGCGTGTGGCCAAGGCTGGCGGCCTGTACCAGAACTTCACCAGCTCCCAGGCCCTGGGCTACCTCGATGGCACACTCCCCGGCGGTGCGTTGGCAGCGCCGCCAGCCGCGGGGGCGGCAGGGCAGCAGCTGGAGCGGTGGCAGCTGGTGCGGCACTCGCACGGCAGCGCGGCGGGGTGCTGTGCGCGCCAGCCGCCAGCAACGGCGATGGGCAGCCGTTTCCGATGGCACATTGCCAGACCCCACCGGCCCGCCGCAGCCGCCGCCAGCTCACCCCGCCAGCTCCTTTCCCTGTCCTCGTGCCGCTGCCGCCGGCTGGGGCCTGCACCCTCTGCCTGCCCTTCAAGCCGCCCGGCCATCCACCCGCTGCCCCTGCCCCTGCCCCCACCCGCCTGCCTGCCCGCCCGCAGACTTTGGCTTTGACCCTCTGGGCCTGTGCGACCCCGAGGGCGCCGGCGGCTTCATCACCCCGGAGTGGCTGGCCTACTCCGAGGTCATCCACTGCCGCTGGGCCATGCTGGGCATTGCCGGCTTCCTGGCCCCCGAGGTGCTGGCCACCATCGGCGCCATCCCCGCCAGCCCCGAGGAGGTGGGTCAGGGTGGGGTGGGGTGGGGGCGCGCCGCGGCCGGGAGCGCGCGCCGCGCCGATGGACGCGCGAGGCGGGGGGCGACGCGGGTGTCACTCAGCGCGCACTCAGCGCATGGCGGCACTTGCAGCCGCGGCCTCAGCCTGTCGGGGCCCGTTCACGAGCAGCCCCCGTGCAGCGCCTGATCGGCCGACCTGACGCACCTCTGCTCCCACCCCGCCGCCTCTGCAGGCTGTGTGGTTCCGCAGCGGTGTGATCCCGCCCGCGGGCCAGTACGGCGCCTACTGGACCGACGCCTACACGCTCTTCTGGGTGGGTGGCCGCCCGCCGCCTCCCTGCCGGCAGGGCCCGCGCTCGCGCTGCCTGGGCGACTGAGCCGCGGGCGGCTTTGAGCCACAGCCTCAACCGGATGCATGTGCCAGCTCGCGAATGTGTCGCGTCCCTTCCTCGCCCCTGTGCTGTGCCCTCACCCTGCCCTGGCCTGCCATCGCCCTGCCCCCCCTCCCCTCCCCTCCCCTCCCTTACCCAGGTGGAGGCCATCATGATGAACTTTGCGGAGCTCAAGCGCTGGCAGGACTACCAGAGCCCCGGCTCCCAGGGCAAGCAGTACTTCCTGGGCCTGGAGGCGGTGTTTGGCGGCTCCGGCAACCCCGCCTACCCCGGCGGCCAGTTCTTCAACATGCTCAACCTGGTGAGCGCCGCTGGCAGGCTGCGCAGTGCCGCAGGCGTGGCTTGACAGGCCACAGGCGTGCCGCGCGTTGGAAGCTTTCCGTGCCGCCTCGCGCTGCCGCCCCAGATCTCGCCGGACGGCGCGCGCGGCGCCCCGCTTGCCTGCCAGGCCGCGGCTGCCGGGGCGTGCTCCGCCGTGCCGTCACGGCGCCGCCCGCCAGCCTCTTCCTGAGCTTGCCCTGGCCCCTCCCGCGTGCTGCCTGACTTCAGGGCAAGACCCCCGAGGCGATGAAGAAGCTGCAGACGAACGAGATCCGCAACGGCCGCCTGGCCATGATTGCGTGCCTGGGCTGCTTTGGGCAGGCGGTGATGACCACCAAGGGCCCCTTCGCAAACCTGCTGGACCACCTGGTGAGGCGCGGTGCTGCTGCGCTTGGTGTACGGGCAGCATGGGAGGACGAGGGAGAGGTGGAGCAGGCAGTGTTTTGGCGGGAGCTGTGCATCGAGCCCTCGCCCCCTCGGTGGCCCGGTCCGGCGGGGGGTGTACCTTGAGCCCCGCTCCAGCCTCCCTCCTGTGTGGCCCGCCACCGATTTTCTTCTTCTTCCTTCTTTCCTCCCGCAGGCCGACCCCATCTCCAACAACGTGCTTGGCAACCTTGCGACCATCCTCAAGTGAGCTTTGCGTAAGCTCCTCAGCTAGGATCCAGCAGCAAGGCGCCCTGACGGCAGCTGCCCCATTTAGCGTGAGGCCGCAGCGGGCGGGCCGCTGCGTGGGGCCGCCGCCCGCCCGCGCCCCGAGCGCCGCCACCGCACCCCGCCACCGCCACCACCCCGAGAAGAACCCTTCACAATCTCTGTTCGCTTTGCTTACGCTCTCTGTGTCCACATGAGGATTGCAATCAATCACACTGCTTGGTGTAATTTTAACGCTCGCCACCTTGCTGTTTGGGGTTAGACTCGGCAGGCAGGAACCTGTGCAAGTGCGCCTCAGCGGACACCTTGCACAGTGCCTGCATTCAGGGCTTGCACAGTGCTTGCATGCCGTGGTCACAAGTGGGTGGCCTGGAGCCTGTGGCGGTGTGAGGCCCACGCCGCAGCGGCACTACCGCCGCCGTACTGTTGAGGCGCGCTGCCAGTGCATCCTTGATGCGCTGCCCGCCTCCCGATCGCCATCGCTGCAGGGAGCTGTGCAAAGCGCCGCCGCGTGGTTTGAACCTTCACGTCATTATTCTCGCCGATCGCCGCAGAACGCGTTCAAGAACACAGCCACCAGCCAGGTGATCAAGGGCAGTAGAGGGGTGCAGCTGCGAAAGTTTGCCCGGCTGCCGCCAGGCCTGCCGCTCCTGCCGCGGGCACCCGCTATTCCACCCGCCGCCCCGCCGCCGGCCGCCCACCCGTGCCCCACCTTGTGGCCTTGCCCGCGCATCGCTGCGCTGCAGCGCGCCGGCCTGGCTTCCCGGCGCGTCCTTGCACTGGCACAGCACTTGGGCGGAATGAGCGAGGAGTATGACCTGGTGACGATCGGGGCGGGCAGCGGCGGCGTACGCGCGTCCCGCCTGGCTGCGGGCCTGTATGGCGCCAAGGTGCTCCTCCTCCTGCTGCTGCTGCTGCTGCTGCTGCCGCTGCTGCTCGACCTGTGGGCTGCTGCGCCAATGCGTCTGCCGAACAGCGCGGCTCTTATCCAGGCAGGGCCTGCCGCCGCCTGCTGCTGGCTGTGAATAAGCGGTGCACGTCGCGCCGCTGCCTGCGTGTTGCCCTCACTCTGCCCGCTTGCTCGGGTGAGAGCAGGCTCAGTCCAGCTGTAAGCTTTGTTGCTCCCTACCCACGGCCCCACACAACAGGTGGCGGTCATCGAGCTGCCCTTTGGGTTTGTGTCTTCCGACAGCGTGGGCGGCGCGGGCGGCACCTGCGTCATCCGCGGCTGCGTGCCCAAGAAGCTCATGGTGTATGCGTGAGTGCGGAGCCTGCCACGGCAGCCCCTGCGGCGGTCGCTGCGGCGGCTGCCTGCGGCGGCAGCGCTGGCTGGCGCCGCGACACCGCCCTGGCTCTTGCCCCCGCCCCACTCCAGTCCCTGCTCTCTCTCGATCCAGTTGCTGCCGTCCCTCTCCCTCCCACCCAACCCTCCCTTCAGCCCCCACACACACTCGTCACTCCTCTCCTCCCCCCTGCCGCCCGCAGCTCCGAGTTTGCCGAGCAGTTCCACGACGCCCAGGGCTTTGGCTGGGCCCAGGTGTCGCCCCCCGTGGACGTCAAGAAGCTGATTGCCAGCAAGGTGCGGCGCGGCGGCGGGACGCGGCGTGTGTTTGTGAGGCGGGGCGCGGGCGAAGGGGTGTGGCGGGGTGTGCCGTGCGAGGCACGGCAGGACTCGGGCGCAGCGCCTGGTTTCCAGCTGCACCCCAGCCTCCACGCCTCACCCTGGTGCCTCCCGCTGGCTGTGCTGCGTGTGCAGGCCAAAGAAGTGGAGCGGCTGAACGGCGTGTACGGCCAGATTCTGTCCAAGGCGGGGGTGGAGGTGATTGGTGCGCGCCGCCGCGCCGCCGCAAGCCCCGCCGCGCGGCCCGCCCGCCGGCCCCTGCCTGTTCGCTGGCGCCCCAGAGCGCTGTGCTGCGCTGTTCGCTGCCGTGCTGCTGCTGCTGCTTGTGAGCCGCTCGGGCCGACGCCGCGCTGCACGTGCACCCTCCGACACACACACACACACACACACACACCACCTGCAGAGGGGCGCGGCGTGGTGCTGGACCCTCACACGGTGGAGGTGCGGGCGGCAGACGGCTCGGTGCGGCAGCTCAAGACCAAGCGCATCTTGGTGGCGACGGGCGGCCGAGCGGTGAAGCCACCTATCCCGGGAGCGGTGAGGCTTGGGGTCTTGCTTGGGGGTCTGCAGGGCAGGGGAGCCTGGGAGTCTGCGGTCTGGGCAGCAGGCAGCGCAGACGCTGCTGGCTTGCTCTGCCCCTGCGCAACTGAGTTCAACCGACTCAGCAACTGAGGGCTCGCTGCCCTGCCGTGCACGCGCTCAGCTATACTGCCGCGCGGCGTCCTGGCTGCCGCCTGGGCGCAGGAGCTGGGCATCACGTCCGACGAGGCGTTGGTACTGGACAATGTACCGCCAGGCGGTACCATGATCATCGTGGGCGCGGGATACATCGCGGTGGAGTTTGCGGGTGAGCGTGCCGGCGCCTGCTTGGCTGCTGGTGTGTGGGCTGGGGAAGCGGTGTAGGCTGGGGAAGTGTGCGGCGGGGTTGGATGTGGCGTCGGGGTGGCGGAGGAGGGGTGGCGGGGCTGGCTTTGTGCACGCCGGCCGCGGCACGACCGCCTGCAGGCGCTGCCAGGCGCTGGGCTTGAACTTGCATCCCCAAGCACGGCCACTACCACCGCACTACCTCCACCACACACACAGACCACACACACACACGCCTCCACCTGCCACCCGCAGGCATCTTCAACGGGCTGGGCTACGACACACACCTGGTGGTGCGCGGAGACCTGCCGCTCAGAGGGTGAGTTGCTGAGCAGCGAGCCGTGGGTCGCGCATCAGTGTGAGGCAGCTGCGGGGCAGTGGGTTGGCTGCGAGCGGGCAAGCATGCCGCCCTGCGGGGACCGCTATGCAACAGCCGGCACACACAGCTACCCAAGAGGCACTGGCATGGGTCAACACGCTGCCTGCTTCTGTCGCCCAGCCATCCACCACACCACCACCACACCACACCACATCCCCACCCCACCTGCCCGCAGCTTTGACGAGGAGTGCCGCCAGGTGGTGCGGGACAACATGGAGAAGCGGGGCATCCACCTCCACTTCCACACCAACCCCACCAAGTGAGGCAGCTGTGCCTGCAGGCCACGCGCAGCGTGCACAGCATGCACAGCGTGCCGGGGCCGCGCGCTCGGCATCTGTCGAATCACAGCCGGGAGGACGGCGCCTGCCTGCAGCCGCGCCCGCCCCTCCCATCCCCGGAGCCCCGCCCGCCACTTGTGTGTCTCATGCGTTGCCTGGGCCTGCACTGTGCTGTGCCCCCGCCCACGTGAGCAGGCTGGAGCGCAACGCGGACGGCGGCATTGACTTCCACTTCTACGACAACGGCACCCAGTCGGGCGGCATCATCAAGTGCGCGCAGGCCATGTTTGCCACGGGGCGCGCACCCAACACCCGCGGCATCGGCCTGGAGGCGAGTGCCTGGGAGGGGAGGGGGCGCCTGCGGAAGGGCAGGGGCCGCCTGCGGGGCTGTGCCCGCCGGGACTTTGACGCTGCCCCGCTGCTTCTGCTCCCTGCTCTCGGCACGTGCTTACACACCCTTCCACCTGCCCTGCCCTGGCCCCTCTCAATGTGCCTGCCCACTCGCTTGCTTGCTTACCTGCCTCCCTGCCTGCTGCCTTCCGGGCGCCTGCCCGCCCGCTTGCTTACCTACCTGCCTGCCTGCCCGCCTGCCTGCCTGCCTGCCCGCAGGATGCGGGTGTGGGCCTGGACCAGAAGAGCCGGGCCATTCAGGTGGACGAGTACAGCCACACCAACGTGAGGCGGGGCGGCAGCCCCTTCGGCGGACACACCTACATGCATCGGCGCCGCCTGCCCGCCTCGGCGCTTCCCCTCTTGCCATGCACTCCACCCCTGCTGCACACACCCAGCATCCGCCCAACGCGCATGTTCCTGGCACACACCCACAGAGAACGCGCACACACACGTGCGCGCGCACACACACACACACACGCACACACACCGCTGCCGCCGCAGGTGCCCTCCATCTGGGCCATCGGCGACTGCACCAACCGCATGAACCTGACCCCGGTGGCGCTGATGGAGGGCAAGGCGCTGGTGGCCACGCTGTTTGGGGGGAAGCCCTCGGTGCCAGACTACGAAAACGTGCGCCCCGCCGCGGCCTGCCGTGGCCGGCTGCTGCCTGCTGCGTCCTGCCGTGGCCGGCTGCGCGCGTGCTGCGGTGGTCTGCTGGGCACGCGGTGGCCTGCAGCCGGCCACGTGCAGGCCGGTCAGCCCAGTGCTGGCCAGCATTGCTGCGGCGGCATATGCGGCGCAGCCTGCTCTGGCCGGCGTGCTGCAGCAGCGACGCTCTCCGCTGGCCGCCTTACCCTCGCCAGCTGCTCCCCCTGCCGCACACCCCTGCGCAGGTGCCCACCGCCGTCTTCTGCCAGCCGCCGCTGGGCACGGTGGGCCTGACTGAGCCGCAGGCCATTGAGCGGCTGGCGGGGCAGGTGGATGTGTACATCTCAAAGTTCAAGCCCATGAAGAACACGCTGAGGTGGGCGGGACTGCAGCCGAGCCCGTACCTTCAAAGCACTTGCTCCGCATGGGGGGGGGAGGGGGGTGCACGCATGGGGGTGCACGCATGGGTGCAGCTGACAGACACTCAGGCAGTGGTATCATGTGCGCTTGCCTGTGTGTGTCACAGCGGGGTTTGGTTGGGTACGCTGAGGGTATGCCGGGATACCCTCCGGGCCTGCCTCCTGCTGCCCCTTGCCCCCTGCGTTCCTGCCTGACCCGACCCAACCTGAACCACTGCTGACACCCGCCGCTGCCCCTGACCCTGACCCTTGCACCCGCCGCTCGCTCCGCCGGCTGCAGCGGGCGCGACGAGCGCACCTTTATGAAGATGATTGTGCATGTGCAGACCAACCGGGTGGTGGGCTGCCACATGGTGAGCGCTGTGGAAAGAAAGCAGCGCCGCCGCCTGGCCGTGCGGATGAACGTGCTTGTGGCGGCGGCGGCGGCGGTGGTGGTGGTGGTGGTGGTGGCGGTGGCGGTTTGTTTGTGCTCGCACGTGTGGTGTTGGCGGCAGTGGCCCACACCCCACCCAGCCCACACGCGCACGCCTGCAGCCGCTGCCCCC